GTTTATGTGAGCACATGGCGTTTGACGGTCACTTTAGAGCTTGCCTGACTGCTGTTCACGTGGGATGGCCTTCGGGTCATGCCACTTCCATTTGCCCTGTGGTCTTCAGAATATGTATATCTAGTTGCACTTACTGACTTCTTATACCGGCTAGGAAGTCTTTGGGCGCTACACTGGTGGCAGCGGAAAGCGAACTCGACACATTTTTAACGACTTTTAGCCGAGGTGGTGTCTCTGCGGCTTGTTCTTCGTTGGTCGTTTGATAAAAGCGACAGTGTCCGGCAAAATCTATTGCCCAACAGACGCCTCTGCCTTACTGGCATCCTACTATTGCGCTGCTAAACTCTGCCAATTAGTCGACTAATTCCCGGAAAAGAACCGTACGAACAAGCCGATGAGCAATGGTTCGATCAGATGATGCATTGGTTCAGTACCTACAAATGGCACAGGATCTGAAGATGTATGTTGCTTGTTCTTGATGTTGATGCTCTGGGTTTGGGTGTCTATGAGTCTGATAATCTGTTGGACCCCAAAATCAGGCTCCCTTGACCGGAAAGTCGAAGCCTCTCTTTTCACGACAAGAAGTTTATAGTCCAACCAGCGGACAAGGTTGCAAAGGAATTCTACTTTTCAGTGGAGAAATCCAAGATAAGTAAGCGCATCTTGGCGTTGTGCGCTGGCAACCATGAGCTACGCATGCGTAGAAGGAAGTCTGACTCTATCGAAGTGCAATAGATGAAGATACAGGCAAAAGAGGACGTGAATTGAAGGAGGCGCATTTGCCTTGATGACGGAGAATTCCTGAATCCCTCACAACGAAAGGGTTGAGACTGACGTCTGCATTTGGTTTCACCTTATTTCCGTGTTCCACAAAAAAGCTATTAACAACTGAAGCGACACCGCCATGAACTATCTGGGAAAGTTTCGTGTCGGAATTTCGCATGCAAAATCCGTGTTTAGGTGTCGGAAATGACACTACAGTTCCCCTCACATACGAGACAGTGACACATCCCGTTTTCGCTGTAGCATGTATGTTTAGATCAGAGTTTTACCGTCGACTCCTAGAAGCAATTGATGGTCAATAGGTGTATGCGGCCCCGAATCTGATTGTCAGACTGAACGTAACTCCAGATCCGGTTGAAGCCGCCGAGAAGACCAGGTACGGTTCCTCAGTCTCGTGTTGTCTGTCGACTGACGCGGTTGGCTCGTAGTTGCTTTTTTGTTGTACTAAATGTGTTGTGATGGCTGGCGCAAGAGGTGTGCCAAAGGGGAGCACTGAGGACGTCGCTCAAAAGAAGAGAGGGGCAGTGTAATGCTTTGTTCATGTGACTACCTGTTGTTTGACGGTTCGCGCTCAGGCTCTAGTTGCCCTGTTGTCTTCAAAATACAAGAGGATTATTTGCAGTAGTTTTATTTAGCATTGTTTATAGGAGGAATGGTGACAAGAGTGCCAATGAACCCAAGAGAAGTTATTAATCGGAAAATGATTGATCACGGTCCTCATGCAGGATATTTACGCACCAATTCGGTTCCCGCCTCTGCCCTATAAATATCAACCCAAAGAATCTAGACAAATCTTATAGTGACCACAAGTAAACCATTGTGTTATCGTAGATTTCATTACTTGTCATTGGAAAAATTATTGTTGTCAAATTGCATTATGCTGTTCTCATTTAGGATTACCACTTTGATCTTTGCAAATGTTGCACTAAGTATTAACTTGCTTATTGCTTATAATATTAAATGGCTCTTAATAACTTGGTTTTTATGCCTTATATTTGTTCACAAGACTATTGCTCGTTTTTTAAACCTTTGTGTAAAAAGCTGTTTTTTTAATTTTTTAAATTATTCTTTTTTTCGATAAAATTCGACGAATTCGATATTAAGCTGTAGATTTTTTGTTCGACGTATTACATAATACTAGAGACCCCGGACTTTCAGTTGCGTGTGCGTAGACGTGGCCATGACTTCTTCTGATCCTATGTATGTTCCTTTTTTTGGGATTATGGGTGCTTCCGCTTCAATGATATTCTGTGGTGAGGCATCACTTTTTAATTGAAGAATCTAGCTTTGGGCGCTGCATTCGGTACGGCAAGGGCAAGCATGGGCATTTCTTGCATGGCCTGTCGGAAGCCTGAGCTCCTGATGAAATCTCTTATTCCGGTTGTTATGGCTGGAATAATTGCAGTTTATGGCTTGGTTGTCTCAGTGCTTATCTCTCAGGAAGTTGACGTAACTTATTCGTTGGAAAAGTAGTAATACAATTCATATTTACCCCATGTGTTAGATCTTTAAGCCATCTTGGTGCTGGTCTTAGCGTCGGGTTGAGTGGTCTCGCTGCTGGATACGCCATTGGAGTTGTTGGTGATGCCGGCGTTCGTGCCTACTGCAAGGAGGCGAAGATATTTGTTGGCATGATTCTTATTTTAATTTTTGCGGAAGTTCTTGGTTTGTATGGCTTGATATTGGCTCTCATTCTTACATCTAAGTAGTGCTTCTCTTTGACATCACGCTTACCTTCCTGTATGTCGTCGCATAATAACATTATCCTTACTTTGGTGTAGTAGTGTTTTGACTCATGGATTTGAATTGTATCATATAACGTTTGTTAAGCACCTGAGTTTTCAGACTTTTTGGCTTTATTTTCCATCACTTTTTAGACAGCATAAACTATGCGTTCAGTAACTGTTCTATCACTTCCAAGCTGGCTACTTTGAAGCCCTTTGTCAAAATTTCGCATCATGAGGTGGATTGTGCAAGTTTGTAACTTGGTACACTAATGGTAATTACGTGGGTTTACTTTACCTACGTATTTCAAAACGTTGCGTTCGTTTCGTGCATTGTGACCCGCTTTGTGGCTCTACTTGAGCCTCTTCGTGCTGCATGTTTTCAGCTCCAGACATTTTCATTTTGCCTTGGCACCTATAGGCCTGGCCGCGTGTGCTTGAGATCTTGTGAACAATGTATTATCCTAAACGTATAACTCTAGTACGGTTCATTTGTTTTTTGCATTTGGTATGCCTTTGGCAGCTGATTTTGTTGTTTTAACGTTTAGGGCAGGTACATTCTAAACTTTGCTGCTATTGATAATTTGTCATTATCAGTCCGAATGTGCATGGAGTGGCAACGTCACCGCTGCACATTTTATCAACATTATTACTTTAAAAATTGATCTTTCCTTCCACTTTATTTGTCTAAATGGCAGCGGCGTCCTATTGACTAAGGAATGTAAGTCGAAAAAAGTCATGATATAAGATTTGCAGAAAGTGATTTCTCGATTAAGTTACGAGTCGCTTGCATACGTTTTCTGATTCGAAGGAAGAAAAATAAATGTTTACTTTAGTAGATCTTGTATACATTTATTTTTAGCATTATGTTTGCTATTCATGAGTTAAGCAATGGAAGGCTATAAATCATCCTCGGGTATTTTTTTGTATTTTCATTGAATGTTTTGCATGTGAACACATTCCGCCGCATCTCCTTACCCAAAAGCATGTCATTTGCTGACTCCCAGGATATTTCAATGTGACTCTCGGATCTTCATCGACCGGTTTTTCAAAGTGGGCTGTTGAGTTTGTGCGGTTAAAAGGTTCGGTATGCCATCGAAATCCAAATCCAAGAGCAAGGGTGGAAGCAAGGATAAGAGCAAAGGGAGAAGCAAGGACACAAATAAGGCCTTTAAGGATTCCAAGAGCAAAGGCTTTAATTACCTCGAAATCCCTCCAGTTGTGTTAAAGGACGTAAAGCCAAAAATCACGTCGACTTTTTGTGATATTCGGAATTATGCCTTTAGTCACTTCCGTTGCGCACAATGCAAGTTGGCTCTCGACTCCTTTCAATCGTTTATCGATCATAGCTGCTGGAGGAAGTACTACACTGCTAAGTACCATTTGGGTTGCACGCAGGCGTTCGCATGTCGCGTTTGTGAGGTCGTCTTTTACTCACATGCTGATTACGCCTCGCACATATGTTTTGGAAACAGGAGTTGTGATATGAATGCTTGGCTTGAACCGGAGGAGGTAATTCCTATAAGCTACCTTAGTCACCAAGATTACTACATCAATTGGGCAAGGCGGACTGAACGGGAGCTGATCCCACATGATCCAGATTACCACTACATATGTCGGTGCTGCAGATGCAGCAAGCGGTTTAAGTCAAAACTTGAATTTTTGCTACATAGTTGTTGTCTGTTCATCGTTTTAAGACCGGCAAATCTTCGAAGACTTAAGATTTGTCTTCATTGCAAGTATGTTTTTCTCCACAGGAGGGAGTATCACAGACACGTGAGTCACTGTGACTTGAGGAAAGCCTTTTGCTCAGACTTCGTTCTTACAACTGCTGAAATTGGTTGCCAACAGTTTGTCACGGGACGGCATTGCTTTGATTTCGACCATCACCTCCACTATGGACAGTGCTTCAGAACACGTAATTTGAATGAAGTGATGAATTTAGTTACTAAATCGCAAAAACCAACAGTAGAACCAATAGTAATCCGCGCCTGCTGTGCAGAATGCGGATTCGAGCAACCTAATTTGATCGAGTTCTTGTATCATCCATGTGCGGCGGGGAAATTGCTCACTCCCTTGAATTTGGAGCTTATGCTCTTTTGTTGTGAATGCGAGTGCTTCTTTGTGGACATTCATGAGTGCATCGAGCATCTGAAATCATGCTCACCAGTGAGTTTCTGCTTCGTTAGGCTCCACACACCAGAGCTGGTTAGGATTGCTCTGCGACGGTGGACGAAGGAAATAGCCGAGAATCCGTATGTGCCAACGCGGCATATCAAATTTAGGTGTGGTGAATGTGAAGAGATTTATGGACAGTTTGTTACATTTTTAAAACATCACTGTCCAAAGCGAGAAAGATATGAACAGATTTTTATTCAGCCGCTTGGAGTGATGGAAACTTATGCATGTGAGGCATGCCATATTGTAGTGTTTTCAATCTCAGAGGCCATAGAGCATTCAAAAATATGTGACAGGGGGTGCTATCCGCATATGATACAAATTCATTACTGCACGGAAGAGGTGATTGCTGCTCTTACACCGTGGATGCAGTGCCCACAGGTGTTGAAATTTAACCTTGTAATAGGAGTTGGAGACGAAGCAGACGAACTGCTAATTAGGGAGAGTGAGGCCAAGGAAGCACAGAAAATGCCGGTGGATTATTTGTTGATGCGATTTAAAAACTCCTTGACAAAGCCTTCGCAACGCATTAGCGAATGGATTACCAAAAATATACAGAACAGATCTGAAAAAAAGATGGCACAGGCTCCGAAGTTACATAATGTGCCGCGAAAGGAGGAAACGGACAGAAGAATAAGTTAGATCTACATCTTGAGTCAAAAATCGCAAAAGAATGCTTAATACAGGTCGTGTCGGCGTAGATCCGGGAACTCTTGAAGGAGTTATGTAGTAATATTTGTCACTTAAATAATGTCAGCTAGGAAATTGGAAAGATGAAGAATCCTGTTTATAAGGTGTCTTACAATGGATTAAATTCGCCGTATGGATTACATGCTTAGAGCTTGGTTACTTACATCCGGTCCCGTGGAGCACACCACCCATAATGCAAGCAAGCTCTGTTTTGCTTGGAGTGCCAGGTTGAAATTCAATGTGGCACTTCAGTAGAGACCATTTAAATGAGCTTCCATAACAGGTTCTATAACAGTAGTGGAAGTAAGTGTATAAAGACAATCCAGTTTCTGATGCTAGTACGTCGCAACCTTTATAAGATTATGTTCGTGAGACGTTATTGTCTACTCGGCTGTCTGTATGCGTGAGGGTGGCTTTTACGACCACAGCGTTTCTTGCCAGAGGGTTGATCTTGGAGATAAGCCAAAAGTCCCATTCCTTCTTTCATGCCAGAATATATCCGTTTGACGAAGTGTTATGCACACATATATCTAAGAGGAAATCTCGAGACGTCATATTAGGAATCAAATAATTTGATTATGCACGAGAAAACCAATGAAATACAAACGATAGAATTCTACATGCAGTACTCCCGAGGATCAAAAACAAACCCAGCTTTCGAGGTAAATAGCATATAGTGATGGTAAAGACATGGCGGTCTAGCACCAGGGGTGGCAGACATGCTCAAATAGTGGAGATAGGTAGAGTTCATGTTCATAGTTAACCTGATGTAGGTAGATTTAAGTGTTAATGTGACGACTACAAAATCTTGGACACCGTTCTTACCACGAAAGTACCTCAGCTCTGAATCTCCATGCATGGAAAATACTCGCATTTCAAATATAGTCATCAAACGGATTGTAGCGATTTATTCGCTCGCAACCGAGTTAACAATTTATTTCTAGCTAGCTATGTTTCATATCACACTAACGGCATCTCAAGACACCTCTAAACAAGTACAAAACAAACTGTAGGACACATCAGAATATTACGATCATAGCAGGGCAAAAGATATCCGATGCTAAGTTGCAGATCACCTAGAAAAGAAAAGGAACACAAAGGTACCGCTGATCGTTAATATTTAGATTCCGTAACAAAATGGCCATAGTCTGTATCATCCCCAGAATTACTAGCCGGTATAAGAACTCAGTAAGTGCAGCAAGATGCATTTAATCAGATGAGAACACAAAACGGTCCTCGGCATAGCCCGAAGGCAAGTCCATGTGTACAGGGACTGGACAAATTCCAAAATAACTGCCAAATGCCAGGTAGTCACATAAACAAAGCATTACACTGCCCCTCTCTTCTTTTGAGCGACGTCCTCAGTGCTC